AGCTTACAGACAGTAGGCAATTAAGGTCACAGTTATGATCACTTAGGACACTAAAGAGGCCTTTCTACTGACTCTGAAAAACACCAAAAGAAAGATGCTCAGGGTCCCTGCTCATCTGCGTGAACGTGCCTTAGGCATGCTGCAAGGAGGCATGAGGACTGCAGATGTGGCCAGGGCAATAAATTGCAATGTCTGTACTGTGAGATGCCTAAGACAGAGCTACAGGGAGACAGGACGGACAGCTGATCGTCCTCGCAGTGGCAGACCACGTGTAACAACACCTGCACAGGATCGGTACATCCGAACATCACACCTGCGGGACAGGTACAGGATGGCAACAACAACTGCCCGAGTTACACCAGGAATGCACAATCCCTCCATCAGTGCTCAGACTGCCCGCAATAGTCTGAGAGAGGCTGGACTGAGGGCTTGTAGGCCTGTTGTAAGGCAGGTCCTCACCAGACATCACCGGCAACAACGTTGCCTATGGGCACAAACCCACCGTCGCTGGACCAGACAGGACTGGCAAAAAGTGCTCTTCACTGACGAGTCGTGGTTTTGTCTCACCAGGGGTGATGGTTGGATTCGCGTTTATCATCGAAGGAATGAGCGTTACACCGAGGCCTGTACTCTGGAGCAGGTTCGATTTGGAGGTGGAGGGTCCGTCATGGTCTGGGGCGGTGTGTCACAGCATCATCGGACTGAGCTTGTTGTCATTGCAGGCAATCTCAACGCTGTGCATTACAGGGAAGACATCCTCCTCCCTCATGTGGTACCCTTCCTGCAGGCTCATCTTGACATGACCCTACAGCATGACAATGCCACCAGCCATACTGCTCGTTCTGTGCGTGATTTCCTGCAAGACAGGAATGTCAGTGTTCTGCATGGCCAGCGAAGAGCCCGGATCTCAATCCCATTGAGCACGTCTGCGACCTGTTGGATCGGAGGGTGAGGGCTAGGGCCATTCCCCCCAGAAATGTCCGGAAACTTGCAGGTGCCTTGGTGGAAGAGTGGGGTAACATCTCACAGCAATAACTGGCAAATCTGGTGCAGTCCATGAGGAGGAGAGGCACTGCAGTACTTAATGCAGCTGGTGGCAACACCAGATACTGACTGTTACTTTTGATTTGGACCCCCCCCCCCTTTGTTCAGGGACACATTATTCAATTTCTGTTAGTCACATGTCTGTGGAACTTGTTCAGTTGATGTCTCAGTTGTTGAATTTTGTTATGATCATACAAATATTTACACATGTTAAGTTTGCTGAAAATAAACGCAGTTGACAGTGAGAGGACATTTCTTTTTTTGGTGAGTTTACCATGTGCCATGGAATCGGTACATCGAAAATCTCCACCCAGCTATTTTGCAACCTGTATTGCGAAGCCGTCAAAATGTTTGTCCTCAAATGAAACTGGTCATTTTTTCATTAATGCCAATCCTTTCCAGACAATTTTATCTTTAATATATGGCAGACAAACAAGTTCCCTACCTTCTCCCTTTTCCACTTGCCATCTCCATTTTTGCAGTAATGCTGCAATCAGTTAGATGTAACTTTGGATTAAGCAAATATTCCCATATACACTGCTCAAAAAAATAAAGGGAACACTTAAACAACACAATGTAACTCCAAGTCAATCACACTTCTGTGAAATCAAACTGTCCACTTAGGAAGCAACACTGATTGACAATACATTTCACATGCTGTTGTGCAAATGGAATAGACAACAGGTGGAAATTATAGGCAATTAGCAAGACACCCCCAATAAAGAAGTGGTTCTGCAGGTGGTGACCACAGACCACTTCTCAGTTCCTATGCTTCCTGGCTGATGTTTTGGTCACTTTTGAATGCTGGCGGTGCTTTCACTCTAGTGGTAGCATGAGACGGAGTCTACAACCCACACAAGTGGCTCAGGTAGTGCAGCTCATCCAGGATGGCACATCAATGCGAGCTGTGGCAAGAAGGTTTGCTGTGTCTGTCAGCGTAGTGTCCACAGCATGGAGGCGCTACCAGGAGACAGGCCAGTACATCAGGAGACGTGGATCAGCCTGTAGTGTGGTTTTCCACTTTAATTTTGAGGGTGACTCCAAATCCAGACCTCCATGGGTTGATACATTTTGATTTTTGTGTGATTTTGTTGTCAGCACATTCAACTATGTAAAGATTATTTCATTCATTCAGATCTAGGATGTGTTGTTTAAGTGTTCCCTTTATTTTTTTGAGCAGTGTATCTTTGATAGCTGTGTATGTGACATAATTCGTCCTATTCATAATATCATTAACAATTTCTCCCATTCTTCTCTGCAGATCCTATCAAGCTCTGTCAGGTTGGATGGGTATGGTCGCTTCACAGCTATTTTCAGATATCTCCAGAGATGTTCGATCGGGATCAAGTCCGGGCTTTGGCTGGGCCACTCAAGGACATTCGGAGACTTGTCCCGAAGCCACTCCTGCATTGCATTTGGCTGTGTGCTTAGGGTCATAGTCCTGTTGGAAGGTGAACCTTCATCCCAGTCTGAGGTCCTGAGCAATCTGGAGCAGGTTTTCAGCAAGGATCTCTCTGTACTTTGCTCTGTTCATCTTTCCCTCGATCCTGACTAGTCTCCCAGTCTGTGCCGCTGAAAAACATCCCCACAGTATGATGCTGTCACCACCAGGGATGGTGCCAGGTTTCCTCCAGATGTGATGCTTGGCATTCAGGCCAAAGAGTTCAATCTTGGTTTCATCAGACCAGAGAATCTTGTTTCTCATGGTCTGAGTCCTTTAGGTGCCTTTTGGCTAACTCCAAGCGGGCTGTCATATGCCTTTTACTGAGGAGTGGCTTCCATCTGGCCACTCTACCATAAAGGCCTGATTGGTGGAGTGCTGCAGAGATGGTTGTCCTTCTGGAAGGATCTCCCATCTCCACAGAGGAGCTCTGGAGCTCTGTCAGAGTGACCATTGGGTTTTTGGTCACCTCCCTGACCAAGGACCTTCTCCCCCGATTGCTCAGTTTGGCCGGGCGGCCAGCTTGGCGGTTCCAAACTTCGTCCATTTAAGAATGATGGACACCACTGTGTTCTTGGGGACCTTCAATGATGCAGAACATTTTTGGTACCCTATCCCAGATCTGTGCCTCGACACAATCCTGTCTCGGAGCTCTACGGACAATTCCTTCGACCTCATGGCTTGCTTTTTGCTCAGATATGCAATGTCAACTGTGGGACCTTATATAGAAAGGTGTGTGCCTTTCCAAATCATGTCCAATCATTTTTATTTACCACAGGTGGACTCCAATCAAGTTGTAGAAACATCTCAAGGATGATCAATGGAAACAGGATGCACCTGAGCTCGATTTCGAGTCTCATAGCAAAGGGTCTGAATACTTATGTAAATAAGGTATTTCTGTTTTTAATTTTTAATGAATTTGCCAAATTTTCTAAAAACCTGTTTTCGCTTTGTCATTATGGGGTATTGTGTGTAGATTGATGAGGGAAAACATTTATTCAATCAATTTTAGAATAAGGCTGTAATGTAACAAAATCTGGAAAAGGTCAAGGGGTCTGAATACTTTCCGAAGGCACTGTATATATAATGTAACAAAAAAGCTGCTTGACCGTTGGTAGGAGGGTCTTACTGTGTAATGCAGTGTTTGGTTTTCGCCAGGCATAATGGGACCCATGTCGTACAAAACGTTGACTCAGGTTTTCCAAAAAGCATCTGGATGCACCTGGATTATCATCAACACTTTTGGAAGAATGTTCTATGGACAGATGATTCAAAAGGATAACTTTTTAAACGAGATGGGTCCCATTATGCCTGACGAAAACCAAACACTGCAATCCACAGTAAGAACCTCATACCAACGGTCAAGCATGGTAGTTGTAGTGTGATGGTTTGGGGATGCTTTGGTGCCTCAGGATCTGGACGACTTGCCTTAATAGAAGAAACAATGAATTCTGCTCAGTATCAGAGAATTCTACAGGAGAATATCAGGCCATCCGGCTGTGAACTGAAGCTGAAGCGCAGCTGGGTAATGCAGCAAGATGATGCAAAACACAATTTGATGTTTTGGAATGGCCTTGTCAAAGTACAGACCTATTTCAAATTGTGATGCTGTGGCAGGACTTGAAACGAGCAGTTCATGCTTGAAAACCCCCAAAAGTATCTGAGTTAAAGCAGTTCTGCATGGAAGAGTGGGCCAAAATTCCTCCACGACGCTGTGAGAGACTGATCATCAACTACAGGAAGCTTTTGGTTGGAGTCATTGCAGCTAAAGGTGGTACAACCAGTTATTGAGTGTAAGGGGGCATTACTTTTTCACACAGGGGAATTGGGTGTATCATAACTTTTTTAATTAAATAAATAAAATAAGTATATATATTTATTTATTTTGTAAACTCAGGTTACCTTTATCTAATATTGGGTTTTGGTTGAAGATCTGATAACATTCAGTATCAAAACTATGCAAAACTATAGAAAATCAGAAAGGGGGCAAATACTTTTTCACGGAACTGTAAGTGTTTTCTTGACAGGTTCAATGTGAACAGTGTCTTATGAGCCCACATTGCCTTAGCCACTGTGAACAGATCATGAGTTTCGACAGTGTCAGAGGACCTGTCCCCGGCATCATTGGCCATGTACCATCCAGCCTCCTCCCAGGACCCGTATAGGACAGTCAGAGTTGATCAGATTTACAGTAAACCATAATCAACATGAAAACACCCCTGTGTGTCAACAAGAAACATAGTGGGAAAAATGTACGTGGGCAAAACAGGGCGTGGGTAGTTGGGTAGGTGTGTGTGAGTGTGTTCTGGCGGCAGGTAGGGTGGGTAGGTACATTTGCATCATCTGACTCCAGCACCATTACATGATCCTGAATAAGTATTTGCTGATTGAGAGGAGACCGTGACTGTGCAGTATCGACATGTTTGGATTTACCAAGAAGGCTGGACAGTCATTTGGTTTATAGGAAAGTGTCCCGTTCATTTCTGATCCGTGGTGTTTGATAAGTGGCAGAACTATGGAGTATCCTCTGGTGTGTGTTCTCTTCCTGGTGCTGCTCAATTTCACTACAGGTAAAGTGGACAATAAGCTCATTCTGGAAATATATTGATGCCTATTTGTGCTATATGGCACAAACGCTTTGTTAAATAAGTAGCAGGTTGTCAAATGTCTCTGTTTGGTTGATGCACTTCAGTCAAACAGTATCAAGTCAGCAAGAAGGAGATTTCTATTTATCTGACATTGACAACCAATGTCTAGAGTAGACACTAGACATAGATAGTAGATCATTTTGTAAATTGTGCGTTCAACTTGAAGGCACTAATTTTGAATGAAAAGCTTGTATTTCTGTTAAAGTGCCATAGTCTGAAGATTTGATTAATCTCAATTAAAATATTTTAAAGACTTTTGTACTGATTAATAATAAGAAATGTAAAGACTTTTGTACTGATTAATAATATCTCAAAACATGAACTAAACTCATCAATCCATTCTCTTCTAGATGTCTCTGGCCAGGCTGTGGTTCCCTCTATGAACCCCTTAGCTGTGGGAAGTAATGTCACACTGAACCTAGTTCCCCAAAGCCCCATCACCATAGGGACCTGGTCATATGAAACTACAATCATCATAATTGTCTATCCTGGTGGCAGTAGTGTGAGTAAAATGTATCAAGGCAGAATCTCATTCAACCACTCCTCCTCAGAGCTGTCCATAAGCTCTCTCCAACTCAACGACTCAGGACGATATACTGTCCAGGGAATGGAGCCAGTCCTGAACGCAGTGGTGACTTTGTCTGTCCAGGGTAAGGAACTGACCACTGCCTTTCTGTTTATCTTTCTATGATGGTAGACTCTCACTCACTGGCACACACTTGCTCGCACACATACTCACCTGCACACTTACTTGCCTATTCACATATTTTCTTGCACGCAGGTTCACATGCAAACATGTATGCACATCGGTAGAGGCTGCTGAGGGGAAGACAGCTCTTAATAATGGCTGGAATTGAGTGTAATGGAGTGAATGGAATGGTATCAAATATGAAAAGATGTTTGTGATACCATTCCATTTACTCCATTCCAGCCATTATTATGAGTAATTCTCCCCTCAGCAGCCTCCAGTGATGCACATACATTCTCTATCAATGATTAATTCATCTCTGTCACAATAATAACAGGCAAGGTCATTTTCCTGACATGGAAAGCTAACACTTAAATGTGTCAGTGTTTTCTGAACATATAATGAAGTTGGCCTTCATAATACCTTTGAAAATACAGAGTACGAGAAAACTGTTCTTTTCAATTTCAGATAAGACGTACACAATACCTTTTATGTGTGTGCAAAGAGACTAAGGGCTCTACAGCGCTCAATCCTGTAACTTGGTCTCTATGATAAGTAAATAAAATAAAATAGCATATTTAGATTGATTTCCAAAAGTTTTACAGTGTGAATCAAAACATCAACTATATGGTTGTAATTCAGTAACACACAAAACACTTTCTTGAGACATATCCATCTTATCTTGACTGCCATCTACTCTCTCACCCACAGAGCTCATTTCAAACGTGACTCTAAGGGCCAACGCCATTGATCTAGTGGAATTGAACGATACTGCCATTTTCACCTGCTCCGTCTCCTCTGGCACTTCCCTCTCTTACCGCTGGCTGAATGGCAGCTCAGAGGTAACAGCCAGTGACAGAGTTCGGCTTGGTGGTGGGAACAGCACTCTCACCATAGTCAGTGTGACACAATACGATGAAGGGCCTTTCAGATGTGAGGTCATCAACGGAATCAGCAATGGCACCAGCCAACCCATTGGCCTCAATGTTAGATGTGAGTATCAGAGCATGCAGTACGAATCACGCACAACAGACATGGATTGTACATTGTCATTGAGAGCTAGCTTTCCATGCAATGATGCAATATGCCTATTTTCATCCCTAACCATTCCTCTGTGTCCACATGATCCAGGTCATTATTTGCATGGATCATTAGTACACTGTGTTTCGTAGAGCAGGACGGAAACATATTCTAGGTAATGTTTACCCAACACATCATTGTTATTGGTTCCTCCCATAGATGGCCCAAGTAACCTCACCATGATGGTACTTCCTGAGATGACCATAGGACATACAGCCTACAATACGGGCTCTGACATCATTCTGTCCTGCTCCGCTCAGTCCAAACCCGCTGTGTCCTACAAGTGGATGTTTAATGGGGCGTTCCTCAACGAGCAAAGCCCACAGCTCAGTCTGCAGAGCACCAGGGAGAACCAGACAGGAAGTTACGCCTGCTTAGCCCACAACAATGTCACACTCCGATTCGCCACCCTGACCACAATGATAAAGATCGTGGGTGAGGCAACATTCATTGTTACGAAATGTCATATAGTTGGTAGTGAATATTTGATTATTGATGGTTATGAATAGAATGTTATATAATTAAGCAAGAATGCCCGAAGAGGTGAGGTATATGGCCAATATACAACACTTCTTATGCACGACGCTACGCGGAGTGCCTGGATACACCCCCTCGGGCCTTATTGCTTAATTATAAACTGGTTGGGTCGAGCACTGAATGCTGATTGGCTGACGGCCATGGTATATCAGAACCTATACAACGTCTGACAAAACATTGTTTTTTTCTGCTCTAATTACGTTGATAACCACACAGTTTATAATGGTATTTTTACCACCGATCGAGTGAAATACAGCGTGACAAATGACTCTTCCTCTTCTTTTTACCCTAGAGCCGATATCAGCAGTTGCGTTGAACAGTGATGGGAAGCCACCGATACTGGATCAGTCGTTCACTCTGCGGTGTGAGGTGACTGGACCTGTAGACTACATTCACTGGCTGATGAACAGCCAGCTAATCTCCCTAAACAACAGAACGATCTTCTCTACGGACAACAAGACAATGGTTATCAACCCAATCCAGTTTTCTGACAGAGGAGAATATCTCTGTGAGGCCTTTAATGCTGTCAGCAACCTGACCAGCATGACATACAAGCTTGTGGTGAACTGTGAGTATTACAAGAGCTAGTAATCTTTGTCTGATAAAACCAATTCAGTGGCCTTGTAGTTAGAGTGTCCGCCCTGAGATTAGAAGGTTGGGAGTTTGATCCCTGGACGAGACATACCAACGACTGTAAAAATGGGACCCAATGTGTCTTTGCTTGGCACTCAGCATTAAGGAGATAGAATCGGGGTAAGGGCCTGTGATAGACTAGCGTCCTGTCCAAGGGATGTACTTATACATCAAGCTGCAACAAGCTACATAAACAGGAGATAGGCTCCTGCTCCTATGAGGGGTTTCGCCCAGAGGCTAATTTCTTACTGAACTGTCAAAATAGTCAAACCATAAGATTAACCATATTTTCTTGTGTTTAACAGTTGGACCAGAGAGACCTGCTGTAACTAGTCCGGATATAGCGATGACAGGACAAAGCGTGACCTTCAACTGCTCGGCCTCCTCTCAGCCTCTCAGCCAGTTCAGCTGGTTCTTCAATGGCTCCCAGGTGGCATCTGGCTCAGTGTATGAGACTGGCTCACTGACCTTAGCCAGTCATGGGGAGTACACCTGTGTGGCCTTCAACAACATCACTGGCAGAAACAGCACTGTCTCCAAGATGCTCACTGTTGTTGGTGAGTCAGTAACTGCTACTTAAAACCAAGGAACTAAAACTTGCTTTACTGTGTTTGTGTTCAGTTGGTTTTAGACACAGCACACATGCTGCTGAACCTACAGGATAATAAGTTGGAAGTTGAGATAAAAAGTGCTTAAAACCCCTTTGATCTACTTTACACAGCACCTGTGACCATGAGCATTGTGAAAGTCATTGGAGCCCAGCCAATACTGAACGAGAAATTCTCTCTGACCTGTGAGACCGCTGGAACGGTTTACTCCATTCACTGGATGAGGAACGGCTGGCCTCTGTATGCTGACAACAGAACAGACTTCTCTATGAACAACAATACACTGACATTCAACTCTGTCCAGCATTCTGACAACGGAGACTATCAGTGTTCTGCCTACAACCCCCTGAGCAACATGACCAGCCCAGAATACAGACTGACCGTCAACTGTGAGTAGTTGTTATGGCCCAAAACCAAACTTGATATTTGCCAATTTAATTCTAATTTTGACCTATAATGAGGGCAAGATGGAATTTATAGTAATGGAATTGGGGTAGGTTTGGAGGCCACTTCTGGCACCATTATAAGAAAACCAAGGGGATGGCTGGGTATTGCTGGGGTCAAACCAAGGCAAGCACACTAATGGCATTTCCAATAGCTAATCTCATTCAATATCTTCATCATCTTGTGTTTCCCAGATGGTCCAGAGAGACCTGTTATCACGAGTCCGGATATAGCGATGACAGGACACAGCGTGACCTTCAACTGCTCGGCCTCCTCTCAGCCTCTCAGCCAGTTCAGCTGGTTCTTCAATGGTTCCCAGGTGGCAACTGGCTCAGTGTATGAGACTAGCCCACTGACCTTAGCCAGTCTTGGGGAGTACACCTGTGTGGCCTTCAACAACATCACTGGAAGAAACAGCACTGTCTCCAAGATGCTCACCGTCATTGGTAAGACAGAAGAGACATCCAAACTGTTTAACTTGTACATGTAGATATAGGCCATTCAACATACAGTGATTGTGATGTAGTCAATATTATTGTGACACTGACGTTTTCTTCACAGACCCAGTAACCATGGCCACGGTGAAAGTCATCGGTGCCCAGCCAATAGCAGACTACATGTTTACTCTGACCTGTGAGACCGCTGGAAGCATTTACTCCATTCACTGGATGAGGAACGGCTGGCCTCTGTATGCTGACAACAGAACAGACTTCTCTATGAACAACAATACACTGACATTCAACTCTGTCCAGCATTCTGACAACGGAGACTATCAGTGTTCTGCCTACAACCCCCTGAGCAACATGACCAGCCCAGACTACAGACTGACCGTCAACTGTGAGTAGTTATTATCAAGTTCAACTTTGACCCGATGGCCTGAGGTGGAATCTTTGAGAACTTCCTTTATAAACATTGTAATAAAGCCAATGTGATGGTTTGGATCAAACCTTGTATACCATATGACATATGTTGATGTCCTTTAAACTTCTGGCCAATGACAGATGATGGGTTTAACTCACATCTGTCAAACTCATTCCGCAGAGGGCCAAGTGTCAGCGGGTTTTTCGATCCTCCCTTGAACTTGATTGATGTATTAAGGTCCCTTATTAGTGAGGAACTCCCCAAACCTGGTTGTCTTGGTCTTAATTGAAAGGACAAAACAAAAACCAGCAGACACTAGGGCCTCCATGGAATGAATTTGACACCCCTGGTCTAACTGATTGTCTTTTGTATCATAGATGGACCGGATATGCCTATTATAAAAGGACCAGCATTAGGAGAAACAGGACACAGCGTGATCTTCAACTGCTCGGCCTCCTCTCAGCCTCTCAGCCAGTTCAGCTGGTTCTTCAATGGCTCCCAGGTGGCATCTGACTCAGTGTATGAGACTGGCCCACTGACCTTAGCCAGTCATGGGGAGTACACCTGCGTGGCCTTCAACAACATCACTGGCAGAAACAGCACTGTCTCCAAGATGCTCACTGTTGTTGGTGAGTCAGTAACTAATACTTAAAACCAAGGAACTAAAACTTGCTTTACTGTGTTTGTGTTCAGTTGGTTTTAGACACAGCACACATGCTGCTGAACCTACAGGATAATAAGTTGGAAGTTGAGATAAAAAGTGCTTAAAACCCCTTTGATCTACTTTACACAGCACCTGTGACCATGAGCATTGTGAAAGTCATTGGAGCCCAGCCAATACTGAACGAGAAATTCTCTCTGACCTGTGAGACCGCTGGAACGGTTTACTCCATTCACTGGATGAGGAACGGCTGGCCTCTGTATGCTGACAACAGAACAGACTTCTCTATGAACAACAATACACTGACATTCAACTCTGTCCAGCATTCTGACAACGGAGACTATCAGTGTTCTGCCTACAACCCCCTGAGCAACATGACCAGCCCAGAATACAGACTGACCGTCAACTGTGAGTAGTTATTATGGCCCAAAACCTAACTTGATATTTGCCAATTTAATTCTAATTTTGACCTATAATGAGGGCAAGATGGAATTTATAGTAATGGAATTGGGGTAGGTTTGGAGGCCACTTCTGGCACCATTATAAGAAAACCAAGGGGATGGCTGGGTATTGCTGGGGTCAAACCAAGGCAAGCACACTAATGGCATTTCCAATAGCTAATCTCATTCAATATCTTCATCATCTTGTGTTTCCCAGATGGTCCAGAGAGACCTGTTATCACGAGTCCGGATATAGCGATGACAGGACACAGCGTGACCTTCAACTGCTCGGCCTCCTCTCAGCCTCTCAGCCAGTTCAGCTGGTTCTTCAATGGTTCCCAGGTGGCAACTGGCTCAGTGTATAAGACTAGCCCACTGACCTTAGCCAGTCTTGGGGAGTACACCTGTGTGGCCTTCAACAACATCACTGGAAGAAACAGCACTGTCTCCAAGATGCTCACCGTCATTGGTAAGACAGAAGAGACATCCAAACTGTTTAACTTGTACATGTAGATATAGGCCATTCAACATACAGTGATTGTGATGTAGTCAATATTATTGTGACACTGACGTTTTCTTCACAGACCCAGTAACCATGGCCACGGTGAAAGTCATCGGTGCCCAGCCAATAGCAGACTACATGTTTACTCTGACCTGTGAGACCGCTGGAAGCATTTACTCCATTCACTGGATGAGGAACGGCTGGCCTCTGTATGCTGACAACAGAACAGACTTCTCTATGAACAACAATACACTGACATTCAACTCTGTCCAGCATTCTGACAACGGAGACTATCAGTGTTCTGCCTACAACCCCCTGAGCAACATGACCAGCCCAGACTACAGACTGACCGTCAACTGTGAGTAGTTATTATCAAGTTCAACTTTGACCCGATGGCCCTGAGGTGGAATCTTTGAGAACTTCCTTTATAAACATTGTAATAAAGCCAATGTGATGGTTTGGATCAAACCTTGTATACCATATGACATATGTTGATGTCCTTTAAACTTCTGGCCAATGACAGATGATGGGTTTAACTCACATCTGTCAAACTCATTCCGCAGAGGGCCGAGTGTCAGCGGGTTTTTCGATCCTCCCTTGAACTTGATTGATGTATTAAGGTCCCTTATTAGTGAGGAACTCCCCAAACCTGGTTGTCTTGGTCTTAATTGAAAGGACAAAACAAAAACCAGCAGACACTAGGGCCTCCATGGAATGAATTTGACACCCCTGGTCTAACTGATTGTCTTTTGTATCATAGATGGACCGGATATGCCTATTATAACAGGACCAGCATTAGGAGAAACAGGACACAGCGTGATCTTCAACTGCTCGGCCTCCTCTCAGCCTCTCAGCCAGTTCAGCTGGTTCTTCAATGGCTCCCAGGTGGCATCTGACTCAGTGTATGAGACTGGCCCACTGACCTTAGCCAGTCATGGGGAGTACACCTGCGTGGCCTTCAACAACATCACTGGCAGAAACAGCACTGTCTCCAAGATGCTCACTGTTGTTGGTGAGTCAGTAACTAATACTTAAAACCAAGGAACTAAAACTTGCTTTACTGTGTTTGTGTTCAGTTGGTTTTAGACACAGCACACATGCTGCTGAACCTACAGGATAATAAGTTGGAAGTTGAGATAAAAAGTGCTTAAAACCCCTTTGATCTACTTTACACAGCACCTGTGACCATGAGCATTGTGAAAGTCATTGGAGCCCAGCCAATACTGAACGAGAAATTCTCTCTGACCTGTGAGACCGCTGGAACGGTTTACTCCATTCACTGGATGAGGAACGGCTGGCCTCTGTATGCTGACAACAGAACAGACTTCTCTATGAACAACAATACACTGACATTCAACTCTGTCCAGCATTCTGACAACGGAGACTATCAGTGTTCTGCCTACAACCCCCTGAGCAACATGACCAGCCCAGAATACAGACTGACCGTCAACTGTGAGTAGTTGTTATGGCCCAAAACCAAACTTGATATTTGCCAATTTAATTCTAATTTTGACCTATAATGAGGGCAAGATGGAATTTATAGTAATGGAATTGGGGTAGGTTTGGAGGCCACTTCTGGCACCATTATAAGAAAACCAAGGGGATGGCTGGGTATTGCTGGGGTCAAACCAAGGCAAGCACACTAATGGCATTTCCAATAGCTAATCTCATTCAATATCTTCATCATCTTGTGTTTCCCAGATGGTCCAGAGAGACCTGTTATCACGAGTCCGGATATAGCGATGACAGGACACAGCGTGACCTTCAACTGCTCGGCCTCCTCTCAGCCTCTCAGCCAGTTCAGCTGGTTCTTCAATGGTTCCCAGGTGGCAACTGGCTCAGTGTATGAGACTAGCCCACTGACCTTAGCCAGTCTTGGGGAGTACACCTGTGTGGCCTTCAACAACATCACTGGAAGAAACAGCACTGTCTCCAAGATGCTCACCGTCATTGGTAAGACAGAAGAGACATCCAAACTGTTTAACTTGTACATGTAGATATAGGCCATTCAACATACAGTGATTGTGATGTAGTCAATATTATTGTGACACTGACGTTTTCTTCACAGACCCAGTAACCATGGCCACGGTGAAAGTCATCGGTGCCCAGCCAATAGCAGACTACATGTTTACTCTGACCTGTGAGACCGCTGGAAGCATTTACTCCATTCACTGGATGAGGAACGGCTGGCCTCTGTATGCTGACAACAGAACAGACTTCTCTATGAACAACAATACACTGACATTCAACTCTGTCCAGCATTCTGACAACGGAGACTATCAGTGTTCTGCCTACAACCCCCTGAGCAACATGACCAGCCCAGACTACAGACTGACCGTCAACTGTGAGTAGTTATTATCAAGTTCAACTTTGACCCGATGGCCCGAGGTGGAATCTTTGAGAACTTCCTTTATAAACATTGTAATAAAGCCAATGTGATGGTTTGGATCAAACCTTGTATACCATATGACATATGTTGATGTCCTTTAAACTTCTGGCCAATGACAGATGATGGGTTTAACTCACATCTGTCAAACTCATTCCGCAGAGGGCCGAGTGTCAGCGGGTTTTTCGATCCTCCCTTGAACTTGATTGATGTATTAAGGTCCCTTATTAGTGAGGAACTCCCCAAACCTGGTTGTCTTGGTCTTAATTGAAAGGACAAAACAAAAACCAGTAGACACTAGGGCCTCCATGGAATGAATTTGACACCCCTGGTCTAACTGATTGTCTTTTGTATCATAGATGGACCGGATATGCCTATTATAACAGGACCAGCATTAGGAGAAACAGGACACAGCGTGATCTTCAACTGCTCGGCCTCCTCTCAGCCTCTCAGCCAGTTCAGCTGGTTCTTCAATGGCTCCCAGGTGGCATCTGACTCAGTGTATGAGACTGGCCCACTGACCTTAGCCAGTCATGGGGAGTACACCTGTGTGGCCTTCAACAACATCACTGGCAGAAACAGCACTGTCTCCAAGATGCTCACTGTTGTTGGTAAATCAGACTGTAGATTATTTGCTTTGTTGTGTTCATTTACAATCTGATAATAATTACAATAAACATATTTATCATACAAAGAGCCCAAACATTTCTAATCTTTACTCAGCGAAGATGTACAGATGAATACATCCTTTCAATACAGTGCAGTGTCCACTTACAGTATACCCTTAGCTCTCACCCTCTCCTTCCACAAAGATGTACTTTTCCATCACCCAAGATTTATCTGTGCTCCTCCATGCCTATCACAGGACTTCTCATCAGTCAGGAGAGGCCTTGGGAGTATACATTCCTACAGCACACTGCAGTCCACTAAATAATTACACTTCTCATACACAAAGAGCTTAAACCTAACGCTACTTTCAATCTCTAAAGATATAAAAAACAATCTATTCATACTAAGGGGATATAATTATATAAAACATGAAATATATAAAACAGTAATATAAAACAGCAATTTACCATCTATCAGATCGTACAACCATTTGTTTTATATGTACATGTTTTATATATGCAACTATTGCATCACTGGAACTAACCATTTTACCAAATTACAAAACTTGATACTGTACATAAAGCAATACACATCCTCTCTCCTCACAGAGGCTATAAAGTCGGTGATGGTGAAACGAAGCAAAATACCGATAGCATCTGACAACCTAACCCTGACCTGTGATGTCACCGGGCGCTATGACACCATCTACTGGATGAAGGACAACCTGTCTTTGGTCCTGAACAACACCTTGAACTCTGACATCACCATCTCCAACAACTCTCTGCACTTCAGTCCAGTCCAGGTGTATAACAATGGAAACTATCAGTGTGTCGCAACCAACATCTTTGGTCCACACACCAGCCCTAAATACCAGCTACTGGTGAACTGTAAGTACTGGCGTTTTAGTAATATTTTAAAAGATACGCATTTATATAATGTAGAAACAGTCAGAAACCCACCACTGTTATAATGGTTAGTGCATTCCGGGATACTTGGGATGTCCCTAGCCTAAACCCTAACCTTAACCCCTACCCTTACCTTAACCTTTACCTAGCCCTAACATTAACCCTTACCTTAACTGTTTTAAATTTCAACTTCAATGGGTGATGTAAGAGTTGGATGTCCCAAGTACCCCGTTTAGACTTTTCCCTGTTATGACCCCACCCTCTCTAAACTTCTTTCTGTAGATGGCCCTCTGAGTGTGAACATCTCTGGCCCAGTGTCAGTGGTGATTGGCTCAGTAATCACAGCTACGCTGAAGTGCTCTGCCAACTCCCAGCCAACCAGCGAGTACGGGTGGAAATTCAACAACCAATCAGTGCTGGGGACTGGTCCTTTGATAGCTGTTGTCGCCTCCTTGGAGAATGCAGGGAACTACACTTGTGTGGCCAAGAACCCTGTGACCAACATCTCAATGTCCAAGACCATCACTCTGGATGTCACTGGTAAGTGGGTCGGCTGTTGTAGTAAGACCTAGGTGGGATGTAATGAGTAATCAAATGTCACAAAGTTGTTTTTATTATGTTGAAACTTGGTATTTAATATTGGCATACTTCTTTGTGCAAGGATCATTTTCATGCATCAGGGAAAATGCAATAAAGCCATATGCTGAACTGGGGGGTACAGACAGGAATCAAGAATAATATTTTTTTTAAATTATATTATATTTCTCCTCCCCTGCCTCCCCTCCTCTCCCTTTCTCCTTTCTCTCTCAGGCCACTCGCCTGCCCCTCCATTCCAGTCCAGAGTTGGTCTGATGCTGATGGCCCTGCTAGCTCTCTCTCTCTGCCTCTGATCAACCATTGAGACCACCACAGTATGCACACTGCATGTCTGTCTGCTGGCTGGGAGCCAATCACTCCCTTCCCTCTACCCTCACTGACCTGAGAAAGGACTGGATAGGAATAAGTGGTATTGTCGATATTATGATTGCCCCATCTTGCCACCATAGGGCTGGGTTTAGTATGCTCAGCTCCTTTCCAATGTTTTTAGGTTGTGAGGAGAGAGTCAACAAGAGGTCAGAAGGGAGGGGTCTATCCCCTTAGAATAGAACCCACCTCCACAATGTGTTTTTATGTCAATCATCTCTATAAACTGATATTCCTTTTAAAAACAACAATCTTGAAAACTGGTCTTCAACATGGTAATTGAAGGGGCAAACATCCACTGCTCAGCTGCACTGCCTATTTCTGTTTCTAATTCAATGTTCTTAGATATTCACTGCCCTTGTGACTGTTGCCCTGGAGTCCATTCACTGAGTCCCTTTCTGTGTTGTTCTGTGTTTGATCATGTATGTAAACTCTGTAGTTCAAGTACAAATTCAGGTTTATTTAGCTTATAAATACCTTAGAGGTAAAACGTTTCAAACGATAATACATTTAACTGGTGTTTATGTAAAACATGGCTTGTTTTTGCACCTATTTAATGTATAAGCTTGTAAATCCTCAGAGGAGATGCAGGCTTGTGCTGTTGTCTTATGTTTATATTTCCTCTTCATTAATTATTGTCTTAAATAAAGTGTTGTCTTTTCACACCTGTCCTACTGAATGGTGCAAACTTGGGTGATTTCTTTATTGGCAAAATCGCTGTGAAGAAATGTGTCAACAGAAGGAGTTAGAGTGGCACAATACACGCAAAAGGAAATATGAAATCTAATGATAAAATGCTAAAATAATACATTGGAAATCTCTCCACACACATAGTGAAACTTGTTATAAAAATGTGTATTACAAAGGAGAATAATTATAAAATACATTTTTATTAAAAAACGAGTCATGGTTCTTGAGAGAGATTACAAAACACGGTTTCAAAGTTTATAAAGTAGTAATTAAAGATCAACTCTTTAAATTGGAATACTCATGAAGTTTTTGCCTTGGTCACCCTTTGACCTCTCTACCCTTTCCATGATCTTCTGGCATTTCCACTGATTCTTGAATCCTTTCCTTACGCACATTGCCACAACTGGATTGTGCGTAGGTTGGAGAGGATGGGAGAGAGATACACAGATTAGTGACTTTGGGAGAGTCCACTGTAACAAGTATTGTAGTAACTCTTCAATGTACTGCTGTTCCACTGTAACAAGTATTTTAGTAACTCTTCAATGTACTGCTGTTAGTGTTACAGAAACACAGGGCTACTCACAGGCCTTCCTGGCCTTGCGGTAGGATTTGGCAGAGTCCTGGCAGAGGCAGCCTCCACTCAAACCCTCTCTCCTCCTCCCTGAGTGACACAAAGCAAACTGCTTTATTAGCCTGAGTACCATTCGGTTTCTGCCAACTATTTGCCATCCCAAAAAATTACAATCATGGGCTGTCAGAAACAGACTGACAAGCAGGCTAGGATTGTATCCACTTACGAAAATCACAAACTACTGTATACCATTAAAATATACAGTACAGGTAAAAAGTTTGGAAACACCTGCTCATTCAAGGGTTTTTCTTTATTTTTACTATTTTCTACATTGTAGAATTACAGTGAAGACATCAAAACAATGAAATAACACATATGGAATCATGTAGTAACCAAACAAGTGTTAAACAAATATATTTTAGATTCTTCAAAGTAGCCACCCTTGCCTTGATGACATCTTTGCACACTCTTGGCATTCTCTCAACCAGTTTCACCTGGAATGCTTTTCCAACAGTCTTAAAGGAGTTCACACATATGCTGAGCACTTGTTGGCTGCTTTACCTTCACTCTGGGGTCCAACTCATCCCAAACCACCTCAATTGGGTTGAGGTCGGGTGATTGTGGAGGCCAGGTCATCTGATGCAGCACTTCATCACTCTCCTTCTTGGTCAAATAGCCCTTACACAGCCTGGAGGTGTGTTGGTTCAATGTCCTGTTGAAAAACAAATGATAGTCACACTAAGCGCAAACCAGATGGGATGGCGTATCGCTGCAAAATGTTGTGGTAGCCATGCTGGTTAAGAGTGCCTTGAATTCTAAATAAATCACAGACAGTGTCACCAGCAAAGCACCCCCACACCATCACACCTCCTTCTCCATGCTTCACGGTGGGAACCAGACATGCTGTGATGAGGTGGTGTTGAAGGAGTCAGGCGCAGGAGGGTAAATCACAGAATAACAGGCTTTAATCTGCAAAATACAGGGTTACGCAGAAATGTGTCAAACACACTCCAGGGCACAAAACAGGTGCACTGGAAAAATACAAGGTACACAGGAAAATACTCCTGTTGAATCAAAATACACAAGCTCCACCGAGCTTCACTAACCTCCACAATAAACAATCACCCACAAGGACAAGGGGGCAAAGGGAACACAGACTAATTAGGGGTTTAGAACCAGGTGTGTGTGATAACAAGACAAGACAATTGTGATGATGATTGGGGCGGCAGTGGTTAGTACTCCGGTGACGACGAACGCCGAAGCCTGCCTGAACAAGGAGAGGAGGCAGCCTCGGCCGAAGTCGTGACAGTTACGGGTCGAGAGCCAGACCTGATCCCCCGGTACAAAGACCGGGGCCTCACTGCGGTGACGGTCAGCGTTGGCCTTCTGACGACGCACAACGCGCTGGAGGTGAACGTGGGCAGCGTACCACGTCTCCTCCGCGCGCCGAAACCAGTCATCCACCGCAGGAGCCTCAGTCTGGCTCTGGTGCCACGGTGCCAGAACCGGTTGGTCACCTAAAACACATTGGAATGGTGTTAGGTTAGTAGAGGAGTGGCGGAGAGAGTTCTGGGCATATTCTGCCCATGGCAAGAACACCGACCACTCCCCCGGCCGGTCCTGAAAGTAGGACCGCAGATACCTACCCACATCCTGATTTACTCGTTCCACCTGCCCATTTGACTCGGGGTGGAACCCAGAGGTCAGGCTGACCGAGACCCCCAGACGTTCCATGAACGCCTTCCAAACCTTGGACGTGAACTGGGGACCTCGGTCGGACACCATATCCTCTGGCACCCCGTAGTGCCGGAAGACGTGAGTAAACAGGGCAACCGCAGTCTGCAGGGCCGTGGGGAGACCGGGCAGAGGAAGGAGGCGGCAGGACTTGGAGAAGCGGTCCACAACGACCAGAATGGTGGTGTTACCTTGGGAGAGGGGAAGATCAGTCAGAAAATCAATATTAAGATGAGACCATGGTCGTTGTGGAACTGGTAATGGTTGTAGCTTACCCGTTGGGAGGTACCTAGGTGCCTTACTCTGGGCGCACACCGAGCAGGAAGAGACGTACACCCTCACGTCCTTAGCCATGTTAGGCCACCAGTACTTTCCGCTCAAGCAGCGCACTGTACAGCCGATACCTGGGTGACCAGAGGAGGGTGACGTGTGTGCCCAGAAGATCAGAAAATCACGGATACAGTGAGGGAAAACAGTATTTGATCCCCTGCTGATTTTGTACGTTTGCCCACTGACAAAGAAATGATCAGTCTATAATTTTAATGATAGGTTTATTTGAACAGTGAGAGACAGAATAACAACAGAAAAATCCAGAAAAACCATGTCAAAAATGTTATAAATTGATTTGCATTTTCATGAGGGAAATAAGTATTTGACCCCCTCTCAATCAGAAAGATTTCTGGCTCCCAGGTGTCTTTTATACAGGTAACGAGCTGAGATTAGGAGCACACTCTTAAAGGGAGTGCTCCTAATCTCAGCTTGTTACCTGTATAAAAGACACCTGTCCACAGAAGCAATCAATCAATCAGATTCCAAACTCTCCACCATGGCCAAGACCAAAGAGCTCTCCAAGGATGTCAGGGACAAGATTTTAGACCTACACAAGGCTGGAATGGGCTACAAGATAATCGCCAAGCAGCTTGGTGAGAAGGTGACAACAGTTGGTGCGATTATTCGCAAATGGAAGAAACACAAAAGAACTGTCAATCTCCCTCGGCCTGGGGCTCCATGCAAGATCTCACCTCGTGGAGTTGCAATGATCATGAGAACGGTGAGGAATCAGCCCAAACCTACACGGGAGGATCTTGTCAATGATCTCAAGGCAGCTGGGACCATAGACACCAAGAAAACAATTGGTAACACACTACGCCGTGAAGGACTGAAATCCTGCAGCGCCCGCAAGGTCCCCCTGCTCAAGAAAGCACATATACAGGTCCGTCTGCAGTTTGCCAATGAACATCTCATTGTTTCAGAGGAGAATTGGGTGAAAGTGTTGTGGTCAGATGAGACCAAAATGGAGCTCTTTGGAATCAACTCAACTCGCCGTGTTTGGAGGAGGAGGAATGCTGCCTATGACCCCAAGAACACATGAAACATTATGCTTTGGGGTGTTTTTCTGCTAAGGGGACAGGACAACTTCACTGCATCAAAGGGACGATGGACGGTGCCATGTACCGTCAAATCTTGGTTGAGAACCTCCCTCCCTCAGCCAGGGCATTGAAAATGGGTCGTGGATGGGTATTCCAGCATGACAATGACCCAAAACACACGGCCAAGTCAACAAAGGAGTGGCTCAAGAAGAAGCACATTAAGGTCCTGGAGTGGCCTAGCCAGTCTCCAGACCTTAATCCTATAGAAAATCTGTGGAGGGAGCTGAAGGTTTGAGTTGCCAAACGTCAGCCTCGAAACCTTAATGACTTGGAGAAGAGCTGCAAAGAGGAGTGGGACAAAATCCCTCCTGAGATGTGTGCAAACCTGGTGGCCAACTACAAGAAACATCTGACCTCTGTGATTGCCAACAAGGGTTTTGCCACCAAGTACTAAGTCATGTTTTGCAGAGGGGTCAAATACTTATTTCCCTCATTAAAATGCAAATCAATTGATAACATTTTTGACATTTGTTATATTTTTCTCTCACTGTTCAAATAAACCTACCATTGAAATTATAGACTGATCATTTCTTTGTCAAAGGGCAAATGTACAAAATCAGCAGGGGATCAAATACTTTTTTCCCTCACTGTAAGAGCAGGCACATACCGCAACCCAGCTGGACACTGCAGTGGAGATGGATCTGTGCGTAATGCCTGCTCTATATCCGCGTCCATCGCCCATACTACCGCCGCCACAATGCAGGAGGCCGGAAGTATGGGGGTGTTGTCTCTGGGCCTCTCCTCTGTTGTCATACAGCCGGGACAGTGCATCTGCACGTATGTACTCCAGGTTACGGTGGTCCGTCCAGACGAGGAAAGGGTGTTTCGCCGCTTCGAGCCAATGCCTCCACACGGTCAAGGATCGGACAATAGCCAACTGCTCCCGATCACCAACGTCGTAGTTCTGCTCTACCGGGCTGAGCTTCTTAGAGAAGAAGGCACAGGGGCGGAGCTTGGGTGGCGTACCCAAGCGTTGAGACAGGACAGCTCCTATCCCAACCTCGGACGCATCCACCTCCACTACGAACGGTAGTGATGAATCGGGGTGGGCCAGTACTGGGGCTGAGGTGAACAGACCCCGCAGTTTGCTGAAGGCCAGGTCAGCCTCAGCAGACCAGCGGAGCCGGGACGGCCCACCCTTCAACAGGGAGGTAATGGGAGCTGCGACCTTGCCAAAGCCCCGGATAAACTTCCGATAGTAGTTGGCAAAGCCAAGGAAGCGCTGCACCTCCTTAACCGTGGTTGGAGTCGGCCAATTACGCAGAGTTGAAACACGATCTCCCTCCATCTCCACACCTGAGGTGGAAATGCAGTATCCAAGGAAGGAGACGGACTGCTGAAAAAACATACACTTCTCTGCCTTAGCATAAAGGTCATTTTCCAACAGTCGGGCCAGCACCTTGCGAACCAGAGACACATGCTATGCGCGCGTAACGGAATACACCAGGATGTCATCGATGTAGACCATTACACCGCGACCAAGCATGTCCCGATACACCTCGTTCACAAAGGACGGAAAACTGAGGGAGCATTCATCAAACTATAGGGCATCACCAGGTATTCATAATGCCCCGTGGTTGTGCTGAATGCTCTCTTCCACTCATCTCCCTCTCGGATACGCACCAGGTTGTACGCACTCCTGAGATCTAATTTGGTGAAGAAGCGCACCCCATGCATTGATTCAATCACTGAAGGAATGAGGGGGAGAGGATAACTAAATCTTATCGACTCCCTGTTCAGTGGTCGATAATCAATGCACGGGCGCAGACCTCCGTCCTTCTTCTTCACAAAGAAGAAACTCGAGGAGGCGGGTGAAATGGAGGGACGTATATACCCCTGGCGCAGGGACTCGGTGACATATGTTTCCATAGCCACCGTTTCAGCCTGTGACAGTGGGTATATATGACTCCTGGGAGGTACAGCGTCTACCCGGAGGTTTATCGCGCAATCCCCCGCCCGATGAGGTGGTAATTTAGTCGCCTGCGTTTTAGAGAACGCTTGCGCCAGATCAAGGTATTCAGGGGGAATGCGCACGGTGGAGGTACTGTCTGGACTTTCCACCGTGGTTGCAGCAATGGAAACATCTAGACACCTACCCTGACACTCTCGCGACCACCCTGTGAGAGCCCTCTGCGGCCATGAGAAGGTGGGGTTGTGGAGGGCTAGCCAAGGGATATCTAATACCACAGGGAAAGCAGGAGATTCAATAATCGAAAAAATTACCTGCTCACAATGAGTCTCCTGGGTGATCATGGTGACTGGTATCGTGACTTCCGTAACAAACCCGGACCCTATTGGTTGACTATCGAGTGCTCTGATGGGGAGTGGAATGGATAGGGGAACCAATGAAATGCCTTGACGGCGTGCGAATGCCCTGTCCATAAAGTTCCCAGCTGTGCCTGAATCGACTAGCGCCTTACACTGGGGAACTACCATGTGATCGGGAAAGTGGATAGGTAGGGTACAGTGCGCAACAGAGGGCTCTGAACAAGTGTGGGTGTTCGATACCTGGGGTGATGCGTGAGTGCCCTGCCTGCCACCTCCAGGCCCAAAAGAACGTTGACTATGACGTGTGGTGTACTGTCCCTTCGTGCCACCAGAGTGGCACTGTCGCTGTCCTCCTCTGCTCTCTCGGTTACCGGCTCCACCCAGCTCCATCCGCTCGGGATCTGAGTCGTCCGGGGTGGAAACGTGCAGACTCCTACCAGGACGTCCTCTGGTTGCCAGCAGGTTGTCCAACCGAATGGCCATGTCCACCAGTTTATTGAAGGACAACATGGTGTCCCGGCAGGCTAGCTCCCGTCGGACGTCCTCCAGCAGATGGCACCGGAATTGGTCGATCAGGGCCCGCTCGTTCCACCCGGACCCCGCTGCCAGCGTCTGAAACTCCAAGGAGAAGTCCTGCGCGGTCCTTGTCCCCTGCCTCAGGTGGACCAGTCGCTCAGCGAGCGAACTCCCTGTAGTCCTCCAACGCGGCCCCTCCTTCGTTCCACACCGCGTTGGCCCACTCCAGGGCTTTCCCACAGAGGCAGGAAACGGACACCTTCTCCCACTCCGATGGTTCCGGCCTGATGCTGGCGAAGTACAGCTCCAATTGGAGGAGGAATCCCTGGCACAGCGCCACCGTCCCATCAAACGCCTGTGGTCGGGATATCTAGATCCCTCCGGGTACTGGGGTGTAGGTGGCTGGATCCGGTTGGCCAGCTGGTCTCGACAGATCAGGTTCTCTCCTCTCCAGGCATTAAACGACCTGAAGAATCCGATCCATCGCTTCCCCCAAGCTGGCCAGCATCGTGGAATGCTCCTGGACCCATGCCACGACTCCAGGCATGCGCTCTTCTCCTGCTGACTCCATGAAATCAGGTGGGTGATTCTGTGATGTGGTGGTGTTGAAGGAGTCAGGCGCAGGAGGGTAAATCACAGAATAACAGGCTTTAATCCGCAAAATACAGGGTTACGCAGAAATGTGTCAAACACACTCCAGGGCACAAAACAGGTGCACTGGAAAAATACAAGGCACACAGGAAAATACTCCCGTTGAATCAAAATACACGAGCTCCACCGAGCTTCACTAACCTCCACAATAAACAATCACCCACAAGGACAAGGGGGCAGAGGGAACACTTATACACGGACTAATTAGGGGATTAGAACCAGGTGTGTGTGATAACAAGACAAGACAATTGTGATGATGATTGGGGCGGCAGTGGTTAGTACTCCGGTGACGACGAACGCCGAAGCCTGCCCGAACAAGGAGGGGAGGCAGCCTCGGCCGAAGTCGTGACACATGCGGAGATCATCCGTTCACCTACTCTGCGTCTCACAAAGAAACGGCGGTTGGAACCAAAAATCTCAAATTTGGACTCATCAGAACAAAGGACAGATTTCCACCGGTCTAATGTCTATTGCTCATGTTTCTTGGCCCAAGCAAGTCTCTTCTTATTATTGGAGTCCTTTAGTAGTGGTTTCTTTGCAGCAATTCAACCGTGAAGGCCTGATTCACGCAGTCTCCTCTGAACAGTTGATGTTGAGATGTTTCTGTTACTTGAACTCTGTGAAGCATTTATTTGGGCTGCAATTTCTGAGGCTGGTAACTCTAATTAACTTATCCTCTGCAGCAGAGATAACTCTGGGTCTTCCTTTCCTGTGACGGTCCTCATGAGCGCTTGACGGTTTTTGCGACTGCACTTGAAGAAACGTTAACATTTCTTGAAATTTTCTGGATTGACTGACCTTCATGTCTTAAAATAATGATGGACTGTCATTTCTCTTTGCTTATTTGAACTGTTCTTGCCATAATATGGACTTGGTCTTTTACCAAATAGGGTTATCTTCTGTATACCACCCCTACCTTGTCACAACACAACTGATTGGCTCAAACGCATTAAGAAGGAAAGTAATTCCACAAATTAACTTTAACAAGGCACACCTGTTAATTGAAATGCATTCCAGGTGACTACCTCATGAAGCTGGTTGATAGAATGCCAAGAGTGTGCAAAGCTGTCATCAAGGCAAAGGGTGGCTACTTTGAAGAATCTCAAATATAAAATATATTTTGATTTGTTTAACACTTTTTTGGTTACTAAACATGATTCCATATGTGTTATTTCATAGTTTTGATGTCTTTACTATTATTCTGCAATGTACAAAATAGTAAAAATAAAGAAAAACCCTGGAATGAGTAGGTGTGTCCAAATGTTTTACTGGTACTGTACATACTGGAAAAATAGCAATTACTTCCTAATCACTCACCCTTACAGTCACACAGTCTGTCATGGTGTCTGGGGGGGTTGATCTGGTCTCCAACTCTCCCTAGGTCCTCCACTGTAGCTGCACTGACACCTGAACGTTGTACATCAGTTTCAGTAATCCCTTGGTAGAGAGGATAATCAGAATGGATATGTATGTATGATGGATATTTCTGCATGATGGATACGTCTGTATGACGGATATTTCTGTATGATAGAAATGTCTGTACGATGGATATGTCTGTATGATGGACATTTCTGTATGACGGATATGTCTGTCTGTATGATGGATGTCTGTGTGAAACTACTATGAGATGGCTATGTCTGTCTGCAACGTTTCATGAAACGCTCAGAACATTAGAAAGAAACAATCAAATGCACATGTCAATTTGTCTACAAGTCTCCCTATGAGTTAAATGTAGTGCTTTCACAGACACCTCAAATCATGCACACCAGTAGCAGCTGTATTAAGTGTAACCTGCTATAACGCACTGTACATGATAAAGCCAAATACATTCAACAGTAAATCAAACAGAATGTTCAATACTTTACCTTGTCCTTGACCGGTGAATTTTGTATACATCTGGCCCTTCATTGGACACTGTGTTAACAAACCTCCAAACGAGCTTCAATTCCATACAACACTCCTTCAGTAGCCTCCAACTGCTCTTAAACACTAGTAAAACTAAATGCATGCTCTTCAACCGAACGCTGCTTGCACCCGCCCACCCGACTAGAATCACTACTCTCGACGGGTCTGACCTAGAGTATGTGGACAACTACAAATATATAGGTGTCTGGTTAGACTGTAAACTCTCCTTCCAGACTCACATTAAGAATCTCCAATCCAAAGTTAAATCTAGAATCGGTTTCCTATTTCGCAACAAAGCCTCCTTCACTCATGCTGCCAAACATGCCATCGTAAAACTGACTATCCTACCGATCCTTGACTTCGGCGATGTCATTTACAAAATAGCCTCCAACACTCTACTCAGCAAATTGGATGTAGTCTATCACAGTGCCATCCGTTTTGTCTCCAAAGCCCCATATAATACCCACCACTGTGACCTGTACGCTCTTGTTGGCTGGTCCTCACTACATATTCGTCGCCAAACCCACTGGCTCCAGGCCATCTATAAATCACTGCTAGGCAAATCCCCGCCTTATCTTAGCTCATTGGTCACCGTAGCAACACCCACCCGTAGTCTGCGCTCCAGCGGGTATATCTCACTGGTCATCCCCAAAGCCAACACCTCCTTTGGCCGCAATTCCTTCCAGTTCTCTGCTGCCAATGACTGGAACAAATTGCAAAAATCTCTGAAGCTGGAGACACTTATCTCCCTCACTAACTTTAAGCATCAGTTGTCAGAGCACCTTACCGATCACTGCACCTGTACACAGCCCATCTGAAATTAGCCCGCCCAACTACCTCATCCCTATATTGTTATTTATTTTGCTCATTTGTACCCCAGTATCTCTATTTGCACATCATCTCTTGCACATCTATCATTCCAGTGTTAATACTAATTGTAATTATTTTGCACTATAGCCTATTTTATTGCCTTACCTCCATAACTTGCTAAATTTGCACACACTGTATATTATATGTATTTCTGTTGTATTTTTGACTTTGTTTTGTTTTACCCCATATGTAACTCTGTGTTGTTGTTTTTATCGCACTGCTTTGCTTTATCTTGGCCAGGTCGCAGTTGTAAATGAGAACTTGTTCTCAACTGGTTTACCTGGTTAAATAAAGGTGAAATAAAAAAATAAAAAATAAAAAAAATGCCAATAAACAGATCAGCAAAAGCATATTTAATCCCATTCCTGTGGGCAAACTATCCTTGTGAATGTGCAATATAACCTCTGCAGCTCCTACTGAATGAACAACTAACCTCTGCAGTTACTTCAGCCTTTTACAGTGGGGAAAAAAAGTATTTAGTCAGCCACCAATTGTGCAAGTTCTCCCACTTAAAAAGATGAGAGAGGCCTGTAATTTTCATCATAGGTACACGTCAACTATGACAGACAAATTGAGGAAAAAAAATCCAGAAAATCACATTGTAGGATCTTTGGAGGGAGTTGAAAGTCCGTGTTGCCCAGCGACAGCCCCAAAACATCACTGCTCTAGAGTAGATCTGCATGGAGGATTGGGCCAAAATACCAGCAACAGTGTGTGAAAACCTTGTGAAGACTTACAGAAAACGTTTGACCTGTGTCATTGCCAACAAAGGGTATATAACAAAGTATTGAGAAACGTTTGTTATTGACCAAATACTTATTTTGCACCATAATTTGCAAATAAATTCATAAAAAATCCTACAATGTGATTTTCTGGATTTTTTTTCTCATTTTGTCTGTCATAGTTGACGTGTACCTATGATGAAAATTACAGGCCTCTCTCATCTTTTTAAGTGGGAGAACTTGCACAATTGGTGGCTGACTAAATACGTGTCTCAGTCTGAGATGAAATGGGCCATGTTGTATGAAGCGTGTCCCCCTACCAACACTCACACCTGCCTTGTGGCTTGTTGTGTTATATATGCCAAGTGTTTTGGAAAGAGTGGACGTTGGCCAAAACAACACCTCATAGAGTTAAAGATGAGTGAAGTCAGCCTGACAGGTGGATGAGGGACCTTTATGATACTGACCTTTGGTAGTGTATATGGCAAAACACTCTTCTGCCTTCATGGCTTATGTTCAATAAATATACTTTCTTTCAGAGCAAACTAACAAATAACGTTCTTTAAATAGAATGTTCAGCTGAAGACTTGAAGGCTGCTTGAAACTGTCAGCCAGACACTGTGATTGTGTTTCCTTGGCAAACATTTAAGACAATGATCAACTATTCCTCTAGCAAAGTAATAAGGAAATAAAAGCGTCATTGATCTGATAGGTCAATATGCTGTTCAGATCATCATTCAAGCGATTAGATCAAACTAAATGACAGTTTGTTTGTAAGAAAGGGTTAGGGAAGATCTATTTGCACCGAGTCAAATCTCGCATTGACTATCACAGGACATGAACATTCCTCACGCATAACGGTTTGGAGCTTGTTGGATTCCATTAATCAGTCAAGGTTTTGGGCTCCATACCGCTACACTGGATTGGCTGGATCATTCTACACAATGTCGATGAGATCTCTGAAGACCAACTTAAAAACAGATACTTACTCTTGATCTTCCGTTTTCGGGCATGTTAGAAGCTGTAAGGTGGAACTGGTAAACAAATACTTCTTGACAACTGACACTGCCAACTAACCATGCGAAAGAGTGGGTCCAACGTCTCATCAGAGTACTGTGTGTCACTAGACAGCTCTCAAGTTGTGGTTCTCTGCTCAGGCATAACTCAACACGTACAGGTACAGTATCTTGGATGTGCTCACAACATCACATGCAGGTATAAAACTGTTTGGTCATCCCAATCCAATAAACCTCTCCATTGTTGTGTTCCATGTATACTCTCGCTGCACCCTTTAGTTTGAGTACATTAAGCAATCAAAACACACTCACTGGAACACACACACTGGATGTTTTGACAAGCTAGAGCTAAAGGTCAATTATGTTATTATTTTGGTTTTAAAACTTTTCTTTGAAGAGCCATTGTGCAGACACACTTCAGTGGTTGGAAGCTGCAAACAAAGCAATGTCCATACATACTGTAAGCTTTCATCGGTTTTTAATGCATTGCATTTTGACATTACATTCAGATTTTCCACAATCAACATTCATGATCAGCAACACAACCATTGTCAAGTAGAGACTGGTAGGCCTACATAAGCAGTATATACAAACAGTCAAAGCAGCCTTTTATAGGGAGTCTTGGGTCACGTGGGGTGACTGCCTTTGAAAAAAGAGTGCAAGACAAGTATAAGCTAGCTACAACACATCCATACACACTGACTACAGTATCATATCATATCCAAGCCAAATACCCACCAGTCTCAGCGCTACTTTGAAATGCCCTCATCTTTCACTCCAAATACACCATACCCTTCCACTTCATTCTCCATGTTTGTACAGACAAAATAAAACATATTCAGGGTAAATCTTCACAAGTAACAAAAAGCAACGGTGGTAAACAGATACCAGAAACAAGTAATGCTTTAACAGTGGAGCCAACTGGCCAAATGATGCCTTGTTGGTCTCTGTGTCTACACACATATGATAGACCATTAAAGGGATTTTCAATGATATTAGTAATCATTCAGATCATTAGGACTGTATATGTTTTCAAAGTAAAGAGAAAAATAAAAAGGCAGGAAATGTGGTTATTTTGACAGAGGAAACTAAACAAACATTTATTATGGTAGATTTTCAGATTTTCCTAACCTTTCTGTGAGGAAGCTCTTATAATGTATCTATCAGCCAGAAGAGAGAGATCCTGGCATATTGTGCATTATATACACCATACAGCATGAAACTAAAGAGAAGGATAATCTCTCAAATCAGCTCAATCAAATCTCCAACGGTGTTAAGTGGTCAAATCTGACTAGCAACATAGACATTTGATCCTATTAGTAATTAGCGGTCCTCTACTCAGCCATTTTGGTGGTAAATCACAGTATGGTCCCATAGAGTAGAGTAGTGCAGTGGTTACCAACCCTGGTTCTGGAAAGCCTTTTTAGGGCAGGCTTTTCTTCCAGCCCTGCATTCAAAACATTCAACCAATCAAGGACTAGATCATTATTTTAATCATGGGTTGGAACAAAAGCTGGGTTGGAACAAAAGCCTGCACTAAAATACTAAAAAGTGTTCTAAAAGTAGTGAATGTGCTAAAAGCCTGTATCTTGTGTCTCTCCAGGACCAGGGTTTGTACCTCTGATGTAGTGAGTGGGTCATTTGGTCATTGGCCATCAGTTTTCCATCAGCTGGTCTTTGGCCTGTTTCTCCAGCACACCCTTGAGGTGGGCGTGTAGCGGCTGGCACACAGCCTGGTAGCCCTGAGGGGTGAGGTGGAGGTAGTCATACAGGTCCTGGTGGGAGATGCTGCCATCCGAGTGTACAAAGCCGGGGTCCACGTTGAGGAGGGAGGCGTGGGAGAGGGAGGACACGGCCTCCTGGACCAGCTTGTTGACCTGGGCATTCCTCTCCCGCAGGGGGTTGGGCATCTTACCCCTGGGCAGCACTCCCTGTGGTTGGAAACATACATGATAGCACAGGAAGCTGCTGAGAGGAGAACAGCTCATAATAATGTCCCGAACAGAGCAAATGGAATGGCATCAAACACCTGAAAACCATTTGTTTGATCCCTTTCCACTGATTCAGCTCCAGCCATTACCATGAGCCCGTTCTCCCCAATTAAGGTGCCACCAACATCCTGTGCATGATAGTCACTAGATGGCCATGCTAGAAAGGACAAACGTGCCAATATAGTCAGCAATGATAATAAAGTCCATAAGCATGCAGTTCATAATTTAGGTTTGGGTTATCATAAAGGTTCATGGTTGTAAAGGGGATTTTCCAGGGGAGACAAAAGGGAGAGCAGTCGATCATATAAATCAAAATAATTTCAGTTTATTACAAGAATTCATGGAGAACATCTCCAGAGCAGAAGCCAAGAGAAATGTCTAATGGGTTTCTCTGAGAAGGTGCTTATATATTAATAGAGCACAGCACTGAGTGTTGAGTAAACACCAGCCCGAGAGCCTTGTAGGAAGTCACAACATCAGCTAACTTTAACCATAACATTCAACACGGGCAGACATTTGATACTGGCAGTTAAACAGGTCAAAGGAAGGAACATCAGTACTTAGTAACAGTAAATCAAATACAGGAAAATAATTAATCAAATAACTTCCCATTACAATGGTTTAACTCACATTTGTGGTAGAAAAGAGGTAGAAAAACCTACCAGTATGAGAGTGTAAGCCTTCGGCAGCTTGTCCTTGATGAGTTGGACTATGGCCATGATGCCGCCACAGATCTGTTCAGCAGTGTGACCGTGATTATTGGTGCCCACCCACAGCACCACTACCTGGTGAAGGCGCAAACATCAACTTGGTGGGCAGTTTCATTCATACCACTTGATTTAAAAGCATGTTCAATGATTGATACTGAAAGTGCTTTTTGGCCCAGGAACAGGCCTGGGACCATGGGTCTGTGCAGCCATTAGGGTTTAAATCTGAACAATGAGTAGTGTATGATCAACTCTAATGTAACGTATTAACTTGTTGTCTGTGTGCATACATACCTTTGGGCTGATGTGGGCCAACTCTCCATTGCTCAGTCTCCACAAGACGTGCTGTGTTGCGTCACCTCCCACCCCAAAGTTGAGAGCGTGGAGAGGGGAGAACAGCTCTCGCCACACCTGACAAAAACACATCAACACCAGTATATCAACTAGCATAACATAGCAGCTAACATGTCTTCTTCTGCAATTACAAGACTTGTAATCAGAAAATATTCAAATGTGGCAAATGTTAGTTAAAGTTCCAAACAACAAATGCCACCCATGTTTGCAGTCCCCTTACAGCTGTCAGGATAGAGAGATTACCTCAAACTGATGCAAGAGCTGGACAAGAGAGTCTCCTACAAACAGGACATCTGGTTCCTTGTCCTTGCTGTTAGACACAAAGTGGTTATGCTGTAGGCAGAAGGAGAGAGGAAAGGGGATACCTAGTCAGTTGCACAACTGAATGCATTCAACCGAAATATGTCTTCCGCACTTAACCCAACCCCTCTGAATCAGGACACGAGAGGAAATTGACTATAACTACTACTGTTATTCTAAAATGGCAGCAGGATACACACCAAAGACATCCATCGCCCATCTCCCTGGATGTCCACACAAAGAGTGGGTGTGGCGGCGGGGTTGGAGTCTCCTGAGCTCATCACTGTCTGTCAGAAAGTGTCAAAGTGAAAATCATGGCTTGGTAGATTAGAACGGATGGATGGATGCTTATTGTGTGTGAATCAATAAAGCAACTAGCTACGGGTAGCTAGCTAGGTAACTAGAGTAGTGGAGAAAAAATGTGCAAGTGAAATGTGTAACCCTATTCACATCGTGCACTGGCACATGTGGGGCCTAATAATAATAGATAACGATTTCAGTAACTAATACTTGAGCAAAATGTACTTGCGGGTTGCAGCACGAGGATGCTAGTCATATTTCAAGCCTGCCTACAGGAATAGTCAGCAAGCTATACAGTAGCTAGCTAATAATACAGTTATCATAATGCATCGGCAATGTGGTGCATCAACATACAGACGTACATAAATAATAATAGGTGAGGTCGCCGAAATGATCTAGAAATAGCTAGCAAGTATTATTGTTTTACAATACCTTAATTGTGATTCTGTCTGCCTGTTAGTTCCTGAAAGTAAAATGTCAAGTCAATTTTACAGAATGTACCATTGACTACTCATAGGTGAGCTATATCAGTAAAATATAGTTTTGTTTTCAGTCTAGTGATATGTATGCGCATACAAGTAGTAATTTGTATGAATACTTGCCTAAAACACGTATTTTCTCTGTAAATTAAGGGTATCAAAGGGACTACCAATGGGAATAATAGTCGCTGATAAAATGTAGCCTACCTCCTTATTTCTAGCTTTGGAATCGTCCGGTGTTTGTTCACCAGGGAAAGGCGCGCGGCTGTTGCGCAGATGACAGACATACAAACCATGAGAGCATCTCAGCTTCTTCAAACGAAAACAAAAATATAGTGTCGCTGACCTCTCTCACATCATTAATCATTTTACGTCTCGACAATTTCACAAGCTTTTATGGTTGTTTCATTGAACGTGATGGCAATTGCAAGATTGTTTAGGAAAGTTTAGCTAGCTAATACGTTACTCTGTATAACGTATTAGCTAGCTAGTCAAACTGCAGGTGCCACTTACATTTACATTTTAGTCATTTAGCAGATGCTCTTATCCAGAGCGACTTACAGTTATAGTGAGTGCATACATTTTTCATACTGGCCCCCCCGTCGGAAACGAACCCACAACCCTGGCGTTGCAAGCGCTATGCTCTACCAAGTGAGCTACAGGGGACTTGATGAGGAAATGTGCTATTTTACTCAGTTTACTGCTATTTTTGAATATGTCCCACACACACGCAGCCTCATTGATTAGCATGTCACTTTTTCAATGTGATATTGGCGGTCCGGGACGTTGCTGGGCAACCCAACATTTTCAAAAGCAAAACTATAACGTTAAGGTGTTTACCTCAACTTCCATTTTTGGATAGTTTGCGACGTTGTAGATTACACGTTTTCTGAGGCTTGCTAGTTAACTTTACATATTATCACTGGTAAATGCAACACTGTAATAGGGTGTCTTTATTTGTTTTATTTTGAATTCGCCTTGATTTCCTGCAGGTGTGCCTAATTTATACAGAAAAACAATTAGCTGGTGAGTGACTGCTGTTTGTTTACTAATGTTAGTTAATGTACGCTAGCTAGTAACTAGTTAATCAATTTAACATTATTTTGCTCATGTGTGCTGATTCAAGACTCCTGTTTTTGCTATTGTGAAAAGTTTTGTCCTTGTCTAGATCTAGCTACAGTTGCTAGGTTTGCTAGCTGGAGTTTTTCTGACAGTGTAGCTAATGTTTCAGGTTTCATTAATGTGTGTTATTGATAAGTATTCTGTTTTCAAATAAGACTTCTGCATGTGACCCAACAGTCATATAGATTTTTTATTTTTTTTATCTGTATTTTCTGTGCACCTAGCATTCCACCTCATGATGAGCCATCTACATGGCAGAGCCTTAACAGACAAGCAGAATGTCCTGCATGTTTTTAGCAAGCACTTAAAGTCTACAGATAAAACCTGTAGCCCAACCAACAGATTCACTCCACACTGCTGCTCTTCAAGTCATACCAAGAACACAGAAGCACAAAACAGCCAGACGAACAAGACCAAACGACTGAAAACACGCAAGGAGAGGAGCCAGGTAAACAGAGGAGGATCTAAATGCAGATCCCACCACCACAACCAGCACCAAAGCGGCAAAGAAAAGGACCACTGTCATGGTTGCTGCCAAAGCAGCTCTCGCCCTCCTCCACGGAGAGATGCCCCATTCGCCCGAGTCTTCCCCGCTGGGCAAGAGCACAGCATCATCACAATCAACCGCCTCATCGGCCACCATGGCCTGTTCAATCACGAGGTGAAGTCCATTGACATTGAGCGCCTGCTGAGTGAACAGAAGAAGTTGGAGAAGTTTGGGCAGCACGGAGGGCGAGGCAAGACCACTGCTACTCTTCCTCCCCTTCCACCCTCCTCTTCCCTTCCTTTCTCCTCTCCTGTGCCTGATTCAGATGTGGCTGAAGTTGCTGTTTCTAACAATGATGAGGAGGCTCCAGATAAAGGGAGAGTAGAAAGAGTAGTAGCAAAGAGTAGTACTACAGTCCACAAGCGTGATGAGTGTAAGTCTAATTCAGAAAGTAGACTTTTTAAGTGTTCTCACAGGGATACACAGGAGGATTTACGAAGAAAATTCACATCTATTCAGGTTTGTCAGGAGGAGAATGTAGCCAGTCACTCTAACAGCCAGGAGTCTGGTATCACACCAGAACAGAGACAGACACATCACAGCGGTCTGACATCATCAGAGGGTGACGTAGTTACCCTCTCATCCACAGAGAGTCCCTCAAGTGTGGTACGAACCAAAAGCAAGTGGCCGAGGCCTGTAGTATGTGAAACAGTGATGTCACCCAGTGGAAAGAATGAAAATGAGAGACCACCTTACACAAGGGCCAAGGTTAAGCCTACTGTCCTCACCTTGGAGCAGACCCCCAAAAACCATGAACCTATTCTCCCACACACACAGCCATTCAGGCCCAGTCCAAACATCACAGTGTCTTCCTTCCCAGCAAGAGGTGGAAGCAGTGAGAGCTCAGACAACCAGACGCAACAAACTGTCCCCAACCCTGTCAGTGTGGTAGCCGCGCGTCTGTGCAGGTCTCTGCAGCTGCCGCTTCTCCGCAGGAGACACCTGGTGGCGGAAAGCAGGGAGGTGCTGCTGCAGGCCCTACAGGAGAGGCATGGACCCCAGCTGCAGGAGAACCTCCTCAGCGTGCAGCGACGTCTCTGCTTCGGTACAGGACCCACCACAACCAGGGCTGGCCAGGGGCAGAGCACGATCCTGGCCGGCGTGGATGCAGATGGAGGCTGGCCTGCAGGTACGGTATATTATAATAATAATAATATGCCATTTAGCAGACGCTTTTATCCAAAGCGACTTACAGTCATGTGCGCATACATTTTTACGTATGGGTGGTCCCGGGGATCGAACCCACTACCCTGGCGTTACAAGCACCATGCTCTACCAATTGAGCTACAGAGGACCTGTAATGTGATTGCGGTTGTGAGTGTTGGGTTGAGGACCACAATAAGAAATGGCATCCTCTACTCTTGATCGTATAATCATACTGTAACTAATCATATCATATTGATTGAAATGTAGGCCTATCCATATTATTTGTCGAATGTTTTATTGTAGCCTAACTGCATTTGGATATCGATAGGGGACTTTGAAAATGTCTTCAGTGGTGTAGTTTAGCTGTATGAGGGATTTTTCAACTATGTCTTGTTCCTATCACAGCTCCATTGGATGATGGTTTTGGAGAGAGCATGGTGGAGCAGCCGTGCCTGGACTCCCAGAGGTCAGCCCCCAACAAGAGGAGGAGGAAGCAGCTATGCCCCAACAGAGTGACCCCTCCTCAGCCCCTCAGTGGGCCGCAGCACAGCCTGGACACGGTACGAGCATAAAACATTGGGCTATCAGTCATCATCAGACATATAGCCTAATAGTAAATTAAAATGGTGAATGTACATCTAATATATAATTGGTAATTGTAGGGTTATTGTGATAGGAATTCCTAAACAAAATAGCAATAGAATGTGCTACTATAATGCTACAATACATTTTGTTAGTGAAATTGTCACAGAATGTTCTAAATGACAGTCTTCTTTGCAATACTTAGATAAACTGTATGATAACAAACCAATTGCTGCCTCACTTGCATCTCTTTAGGCTGCTGCATGGAACCCCAACCCTAGTGTGGAGCAGGTTGGGGAACTGATCGGGGAGCTACTGAGGCCCCCTTCCTCCTCGCACTTCCTCATGAACCTCCAGCCCTCTGGTTCCCCCTCATGCCACCACATCTTTTCCCCCCCTCCTGCCTCACCTTGGGCAGCTCAATCCGGTCTGCCTCAGCCCTGGGATGACGGATCTGACAGAGGAAGTACGAGAGAGTCAACCAGGGTGGACCACTTTGAGAACTGGAGGTATGACCCAGATTTTAGTTATCTAAACCAGACAGACACTGTGAGAGAGAGAAGCCGTGGGCCTTTCTATCATGAGAAGAGTAGGCCGCAGTATCCCACAGGGCCACTAGAGGGACACAGAGACAGACACTTGCCACAGCAGCAAGATCCATACAACATTGAAAGGCGCCATTTTGGTGGTGCTTCCTCATCCTTTTCTGCTCCCACCCACTATCCACTAGACAGTCATCAGCTCCACCCTTTCTATCACTTTAACCGCCCCCCAGCCAGCCCTGGAATCCCCAGGTCCCACCTTCCTGACATGGCCTATTATCCCCCCTCCCACATGCTGGAGAGTAGCCTGTCTCCTCCTCTGCCCCCCGGGTCCCTGCCTGCTTTCCCCAGCCCTGAACGCTGGTCTTTCCCCCGGATGAGACTGTAGTACTGC